TGTATAATATATATTTTTACAACAATAGGGGAAAAAAAAGTGTCAGAACGGGAAATGCTGTGTCAGTACTGAAACACCATCAGGTAGTGAGAGTTTTTCCCTCTCTGCTGTAGTGGCTTCCTGTCCCCACCCCCAATTCTGCTGTGACCAAATCACTAGTGAGTTGTGAAATCTTCCCAGAGAGCTTCTATTGTGCTAGATATTTTTGTGGATTACTTGGTTTGGGTCTGCAGTTTAAAGGTGAGTTTGGAAATTTGAGATTCTGCATTGTGTTTTCTGGTTCATGCTGATTTACTTACTGAGTTTTTTTTTTCCCAAGAAAGAATGACTTTAGATAGGTCCCTAATTTTCAGAGAACCCACAGCAGTTTTTATACTGATAATTAGAAATAGATCAGTGATGTCATGGAAGGTTAATAATGACCAAGTAGGTGCCAAGGATATGACTCTTAAGGAAATTTGGCCTGATTAACTTATGTTTTGTCTGCTAAGTAGGGTGATGAAAACATGAAACCCTATACGAAGTGTTCAGGGCAACAGAAGAAAGACTGAGTGCTACCACAAGAGTTGTCTTTCTCCATCTTTCCCTATTCAGCATTTAATCTTTCCTTTAAATAAATTTGGAAAAATCAATGGAAAATATGTTTAAAGGGGATATTATTGGTTTATCCTAAAAATAATAAAAATAACAGAATGGAACTACAATTGTGAAAATTATAAGCTTTCTTAGAGTACTATACGTTCTTTTTTTATAAGCAGCTGTGATATAGAAGGAAAAAATTGACAAGTCAGCTGGATATTTGATTCTGCCACTTAACTGTTTAGCCTTGGGCAAATCAGAAAGGGAAAAACCTTTCTGAAGCTTAGTTTTATTACCTATAAAATGAGGATAATAAGTTTCTTTTATGACAATTAAATGAGATAATTGTGTTTAAATGAACTCTTTAATCAACCAAGCAGCATACATGTTTGGCATAAAAATAATAATGCTACATAGACTTATGTAATGATTATAGACATGACATATGTAATAATTTAAATTGTAATTATCAATGAATAGTGCTATAAAAATGCTATAAAAACTAAATTTATAATCTTTCTTCATGTAGCTTCAAGAAAGGAATCTAACTTAAAATGAAAACTTTTTGACTTCTTTTAATGGGATGTTAGAATAAAAGGCCAGGTGCAACAGTTAAGCATTCAGTTGCTAACTGAAAGGTTGGCAGTTCAAACCCACCCTGTGGCTCCTCAGGAGAAAGACCTGGTGGTCTGTTTCCTTAAAGATTACAACCAAGAGAACCTTATGGGGCAGTTCTACTCTGTCACATGGGGTCATTATTGAGTCAAAATCAACTCGACAGCAGCTAACAATGGAATAAAAGACAGACATACACCTATGTCTTAAAAGCAGAGTATTTTATTTTCTTACTCACTTGAAAGAATATTGAAGGAATGACCCTTAACCAAATGAAAGTTCAGCATCAAAATGACTGGCTACTTTCTCCAAATTCCCAGCTCAGTTGAGTGATTAAATACTTCTTGTCAGCAAGGAAGATGATGTGAATAATGAACAAAAATAGCTCTGTTCAACAGCTGTGATATCTATAATTTATCAGCTGTGATCATCTCCCATCAGATTGTCTTGGTATCTAAAGAAGAATGAAAGTGTATTTTCCATTTGCATACAAAGTACTTCAGAGAAAACAAACTTTTCTTTTTTTTATTGTTGTAGTTTAAATGAAGTTTACATTTCAAGTTAGTCTCCCGTACAAAAATTTATACTTACATTGTTACAGGACTCTAATTGCTCTCCTCATACTGTGACAGCACACTCCTCCTTTCCACCCCTGATTCCCCATGTCCATTCAACCAGCTCCTAACCCTCTCTGCCTTCCCATCTCACCTCCGGACAGAAACTACCTGTTTAGCCTCTTGTATCTACTTGAGCCAAGAGGCACACTCCTCATGAGTACCACTTTATGTCCCACAGTCCAGTCCAATCCTGGTCTTAAGAGTTGGCCTCAGAAATTGTTTTACTTCTGGGCTGATAGAGAATCCGGGGGCCATGCCTTCAGGGATTCCTCCAGTCTCAGTCAGACCATTAAGTCTGGTCTTACTAGAATTTGAGTTCTGCACCCTACCTTTCTCCTGCTCCCTCAGGTACTCTCTGTTGTGTTCCTTGTCAGGGCGGTCATTGGTGGTAGCCGGGCACCATCTAGTTCTTCTGGTCTCAGGCTGATGCAGTCTCTGGTTTATGTGGCCCTTTCTGTCTCTTGGGCCACTACTTCCTTGTGTCTTTTGTGTTCTTCATTCTCCTTTACTCCAGGTGGTTGGGACCAATTGATACATCTTAGATGGCCGCTTGCAAGCTTTTAAGACCCCAGTAGCCACTCACCGAAGTAGGATGCAGAACAATTTCTCACTAAGCTTTGTTATGCCAATGACATAGATGTCCCCTGAAAGCATGGTCCCCAGACCCCTACCCCTGCTACTTTGTCCCTAAAAGTGTTTGATTGTATTTAGGAAACTTCTTAGCTTTGGTTTAGTCCAGTTCTGCTGACTTCCCCTGTAGTGTGTGCTGTCCTTCCCTTCACCTAAGATAATTCTTGTCTACTATCTAGTTAGTGAATACCCCTCACCCTCCCTCTCCAACCCTCGTAACCATCAAAGAATTTTTTTTCTGTGTTTAAACCTTCTCTTGAGCTCTTATAATACTGGTCTTATACAATATTTGTCCTTCTGTGACTGACTAAATTCACTCAGCATAATGCCTTCCAGATTCCTCCATGTTATAAGACGTATCACGGATTCATCGTTGTTCTTTATCATTGTGTAGTATTCCATTGTGTGGATATACTATAATTTGTTTATCCATTCGTCCATTGATGGGCACCTAGGTTGTTTCCATCTTTTTGCTATTGTGAACAGTGCTGCAATGAACATGGGTGTGCATATATCTATTCGTGTGATGGCTTTTATTTCTCTAGGGTATATTCTAAGGAGCAAGATAGCTGGATCGTATGGTACTTCTATTTCTAGCTTTTTAAGGAACCGCCAAATCGATTTCCAAAGTGGCTGTACCATTTTATAATCCCACCAACAGTGTATAAGTGGTCCAGTCTCTCCACAACCTATCTAGCATTTATTATTTTGTGGAAAACAAACTTTTCTTATACCTATTCTTTCTGATCAATGCATTTGTCTCTTTATATATAAGCAGTGTGCTAAGAGACTTCATGTTTGAGGAATGTGACCTTGGACTCTTTTGTCATATGAATTGAATGTTCAATTAAAAAAAAAAAAGTTAACAAACCTGGTGCAAGCCCATGTGTTACTGAGTAAAACTGCTCCATAGGGTTTTCTTGGCTGTAATCTTTATGGAAGCAGATCATCAGGCCTTTCTTCTGTGGTGCTGCTAGGTGGGTTTGAACTCCAACTTTTAGGTTAGTAGGCAAGCACAAATGTTTGCACCATTTAGGTACCTAAATGTTCATTTAATCTTTAACAATTTGTCCTTGAACAGTAAATAATCTTGTTAAGTACTGAAAGGTATGACAACATTAAAGAAAGGAAAGAAAGAATTTCATTGCCACGTTTTGTCAGTCTTTAATACTCTGCCTGGGTGTCATGCTTGTAGGTAGAATTGCTATTTTTATCATATTATTTCTTTAATTTGTGCCATTTTATTGCCCTTGCTCTTCACAATTCCTCTTTGCCCTTTAGGTATTTTACTTTCTATGCTTACTACATTTAGTTTCCTTTTCATTTCTTTCACTCGTCTCTCCTTGTACAGCTCTGTCACATATTAGTATTTTTGTACTATAGATTTACGTAAGCACGTGCTAAAATAAACCGAGCAAACACTGTGACTTTGATTTACTGGAAAACTTCGTGCAAATTAGTTAAAATTGAGAGCTCTGGAGGGTCTCTTCCACCTACAGCGCAAAATAATTGAGAATTATAAAATACGTAGAGAATAATTAAACAGACCATAGAACTGGGTTCTCTATGTTCCATGACCAATCAAAAACAGCCAGTTCATGTCTTGAGAAACTTCTTTGGCTCTCCTCAGACTGCCCTTTGATCAAGGTCCCTTCCCACCACCCTCCCTCGGCTTTCCGTACACCACCCACACTGTATGTGTGTGTGTGTATATACATATATATGTAAATATATATACTACATCATTCCTTTCTACTTCCACCTCTTTCCATTTCCTAAGATTCTTCCCAAATTTCACCTTTGCACTGTCACTTCCTTCAGTTTTCTTCATAATGGGCTCCCTCTCGCCTTCATCCTTAAAGCCCACTCTCTCCCTCAGGTCCCCCCATTCCTGGGTCGTGTCCCCTTTATCCTCTTCCTCGCAGCACCTGCCTGCTTTCGACCCTATTTCGGATTTCCCACACCTGGCTCGGGATCCCTCCCTCAAATCCTCCTCAAACGCCGCGTTCGCTCCCTGCTCGAGCTCACGACCGTGGCCGCCTCGCCTCGCCGCCTCGAGCTCGGCACACAGACTCCTCTCACTCGCCGGGCGCGGGAGCGTCCGCCTCCCCTCACGCCCTCTCTACTGGGCGCGCCCCCGGCTCGCCGCTCGTTTCGCGTTTCCCACCTAGTCCAGGCTCCTCCCCTTCACCTCCTCCCCTCCTCCCGGGACCCGTGCCCGCACCGGCCACCGCCGCCCGCACCCCTCGGCGCCTCCCGGCTCGGCCCCCGCCTCCCGCAGGTCCCGCTGCACTGTGGGTAGGCGGCGGCGGCGGCGGTGGCGGCGTCCGCGTCCGCGTCCGCGTCGGCAGTGAAGAGCCGCGGGCGGCACCGGGCTGCGCGCGCCGAAGATGGCTGAGAAGCAGAAGCTTGACGGGCGGGTGAAGATCGGACACTACGTGCTTGGGGACACGCTGGGCGTCGGCACCTTCGGCAAAGTGAAGAGTTGAGTACGCGCTCGAGGCCGCCGCGCGGGGCTGTCCGAGGCGCTGGAGGTCGGGCCGAGGCGCTGGAGGTCCGGCGGAGCCGCGAGAACCGCGGGAACCGCCGGAGCCCCGGGCCGCGGGCGGACGGGCTAGCGGGTGGGCGCAGGGCCTGGCGGCAGGTGGAGCGGCCCGGGGCCGCGCGGAGCTTGGTGGCTCCGGAAAGGGGCCCGGTGAAGAGGAGCAAGGGCGTGGGCTAGGAGACATTTGACCCGGGGTCCAGGTCCAGTGCCGATTTCACTTTCCGGTGATCTGTTGCAAGGTACTTCTCTTCACCGGACCTCAGTTTCCTCGCCTGTAAACATGGGAGACTGGAATAATACCTATTACTGATTAGTGAGTTTCTTTTACGGGCCAGGTACCCTGTTAGGTGCTTTTCGTGTGATCTTTAATCCCAATTTGGCGAAGATATCCTCACTGCAAAGGTGAGAAAACTGGGATCCCTAGAGGTTTAGTAACATGGCCAAGGTCACACAAATTGGCAGAACCAGGATGAAGTCTAAGATGTCTTCCAATTCTGGCGTTGCTGGGAGTTCCCTGCCATCCCCAGATTCTTTAATACTGAGTCTCAGTTGGTGGGGCTGGCGGTTTAGGGGATGCTCCAGGGAACAGGAGGTGGGTAGGTCTTTCTGCTGGGTATGTGAAACGCTGGAATACCACTGGATTAGGTCAGGGTTTGATCAGAACTGGCAGATTGGTTGGTGTGTGCAAAAGGAAGGCTTCTGGGATGGGGGGAGAGGAATAAGGTTTCTTGGTATTGGACTTTTGAGAATTTGGGCTCAGAGGCTCAAACCTACCAAGGCATATACTGCTGAGGTCTGTTTTCTGGGGATGGGATCCCCCTTTGGGGCTCCTTTTGGAATTTTTTACTTCTTAACTAGTTAAATATTAAGCCCCCCCCTTCCCTGTTAATAAGAGTCACTTTGGATTTACTTAACCTGTCTTCTCTCCAGAACTAGAGCCAGTTTATTAGAAGTACTTTCTGTTTGATTGTTAAAGGGTTGACTTTTTTTATTTGTTTGTAGAAGTGTTAGGTACCTAGTCTGGAGATTTTATTCTGAGATCTCTATTTTCTTCTAAAATCATATTTTAACTTCAAGTCCAGACTGTTGAATAGGTAGAAGAGACTCATTGTTCCTGAATGCCTGTGGTAAGGATCAGTTCCTGTTTACTTTCACATTTCTGATGCCCATTCATTTGTTCAGAAAGCATCTACAGTGTGCTAGACACTGTTCTAGGTAATGGGAATACAGCAAGGAACAAAATTGGGAAGGCAAACAATAATCAAAATATATGTAAAATAGACAGTATGTTTAGATCATAGTAAGTGCTGTTGAGAAAAATGAAGCAAGGAAGGGAGGGTAGGGAGTTTTGTGGGGTGTGCGATTTTCAATAAGGTGGTCAGGAAAGACCTCACGGACAAAGTGGTGTTTGTGTAAAGACCTAAAGAATGTTGCACACTTCTTTGAGGTACTACGAAGGCTATGAAGTCTGGATTATCTTTGAAAGACCTCATAAATAGAGAAGATAGGAGAATATGTTTAGAATGAATGTAGGAAGATCCAGGGGTTGGATTACTGCCTGTAATGTTACTTGTCATTATCATTACTGAGGACTTTTGTATTACAACATCATACAGTTACCCAACAAACAGTGACTTTGCCATCCGGACATGTATGCCCTCAAAGTTACTTAACTCCTCGTCCTTTTAAATGGTTAAAAAGGTTTTTTTTGTCTTTTTTAATTTCTCCACTGTAATCTGAATGAAGAATAGAACACTCACTCATCAGATCAATCAGCCCATTGTCAAAGGATGACTTAAATTGCTTTTGTATATACTGTTGAGTTCCTGCCAGGCGCTAGCTTCTTAAAGTTCCAACAGAAGGAACTTTGATTTATAAGAAATCCTCTTCTGGAGAATCCCTGTCCAGTGAATAAACAATAGGAGCAGGTTTCCTAACCCTGTGTTGGATCCTCTCTGAAGTTATACTGTGGTTTCCCATCTAAGATTAGAATCAGTACAATTGTTTAATAAAAAATATAGAAATTACTACAGTTTTACATTACTCGTTTAATTCTTCATGACGAAGCAAAAGCACATGCATTTTTAAAAGCAGCTTTATGGAGGTGTATTTTACGTATTATATTTATACCCATTTCAGGTGTACAAATCAATGATTTTCAGTAACTTCATGAAGTGGTACAACCATCATCAAAATCAATTGTAGAACATTTTCATACCCGCAGTAAGATCTGTCATGTTCATTTGCAGTTAATTCTCATTCCCACCCCAGCCCTAGGAAACCACTGATATGTTTTCTGTCTCTATAAAGTTGATTTTTCTGGACATGTTGTAATTTTGTATAAATGGGATCATTCACTATGCCATCTCTTGTGTCTGATTTCTTTAATTTAGAGTAATGTTTTTGAGGTTCATGCATGATGTAACGTGTCAGTAGTTTATTCTTTTTTTATTGCTGAATAATATTCCATTGTGTGGATATGCCACTGGTGAATGGTCTGTATTTTCACTTGCTAATGGACATTGTTTTCAGTTTTGGGTTATTACAAATTATGCCACTATGAACATTTGAATGCAAGTCTTTATGTCAGCATATGTTTTCATTTATCTTGGGTAGATATCTAGAAGTGGAATTGCTGAGTTGTTTCATTTTATGCTTACTTTTTGAGAAGATGTCCAACTTTTCCAAAGTGTTTGCATACCATTTACAATCCTATCAGTAGTGTTGGTACGTTTGAGTCTTCTGTTGTGGCTGTTATGTCATTCCATCTCATTGAGGGTTTTCCTCATTTTTGCTGACCCTCTACTTTACCAAACATTATGTCCTTTTGTAGTGATTGGTCTTTCCTGATGATGTGTCCAAAAAAACCAACAACCTTGAAGATGGCACAGGACTGGGCAACGTTTTGTTCTGTTATATATAGTGTTGCCATGAATCAGAGCCAAATCAAGAGCAACTAAACAACAGCAACAACCACTAATAGTGTATGAGGGTTACCGTTTATTCACACCTATGCCAAGATCCGTTAACCAACAAAAGAAACCAAACTAGTTACCTTTGAGTTGATTCTGAGTTATGGTGACCCCTTATTATCTGCCTATTAATACCCATTCTGGTAGGCGTGAAGTGGCATCTCCTGGCTTTAATTTGCCTTTCTCTTATGAGTAACGATATTGAGCATGTTTTCATGTACTTCTTAACTATTCATATATCTGTTGAAATGTCTGTTCATATTTAGCTTTGTCAGTTTTTTGGTTGGGTTGTTTGTCTTCTTATAAATTGAGTGGTAAGAATTCTTTGTAAATTCTGGATACAAGTCCTTTATTGGATATGTTTTGCAAATATTTTCTCCCAGTCTGTTGTTTTTCATTTCTTAATTGTGTTGTGAAATATAAAAATTTGAACTTTGATGAGGTCCAGTTTATCATTTTTTTCTTTTTGTGAACAACGCTTTTGAATCTTTGCCAAGCACAAGGTCATAAGATTTTTTCATACGTTTTCTTGTTTTAGCTCTTACATTTGAGTCTACAGTTCATTTTGAGTTAATTTTTGTGTATGGTGTGAGGTGAGGTTGTAAGTTCAGCTTTTTGCATGTAATTATCCAATTGTCCCAGCGCTTTTTGTTGAAAGCACATGCGTTTTTGTTACAGATTTAGACTTAGTAAATTTAATTTCTACTCAAAAACTTAATAGTAGATGATTTAATTTTACATGGCAATAAAAACATGGAAATGGAGAAGTGAGAAACATTATATGTATTTTTGCTTTTCTCCTCTCATAACTATTTGGCTAATTACCGAATTTGAAAATTTAACTTAAATTGTTAATGTGTCATTTTATGGACCGAAAATAAGCAAATATTGAAAATAGCATAGTTTTCATTTGATAGCATTAGTGACAAGTTATTTTTAGAAGATATATAGAAGTCCTTCTGTTTGTTGATAAATAATTAAAGCCTTGTTTTAAATTGAATTTTTTCCTTCATTAGTCTATTGTTAGGTTACTAGGGGAGTGCTTATGGAAGCAGCCTATGTGGCCCTATGGAATGTAAATGTAATGCTTTTTTTTTACTTAGAAATTTTCTCTCATTTGGGTTCATACTCCTTTTAGGGTAGGGCAGAACTGCTGTTTTGAGTTCTTTTAATTAGACTTGTTCAGTTCCTATTAAGTAGTAAAGTCATTGCCACTGAGTAGATTCCAACTCATAGCGACCCTATAGGACAGAGTAAAACTGCCCCGTAAAGTTTTCATGGAGCAGCCGGTGTGTTTGAACTGTCAGTCTTTTGGTTAGCAGCTGTAGCTCTTAACCACTGTGCCACCAGGGCTCCATCCAATTATTTACTTAAAAGAAGCCTGCACTTTCAAGATGAGGGCTGATAGATTTGGTTTATGAAATATGTATCTGTTATGGATTGAATCATTCCCCCCAAAATGTGTGTCAACTTGGCTAGGTCATGATTCCCAGTATTGTGTGATTGTCCACCGTTTTGTCATCTGATGTGATTTTCCTATGTGTTGTAAATCCTGCCTCTATGATATTAACGAGCAAGATTAGAAGCATTTATGTTAATGAGGCAGGACTCAATCTACAAGATTAGGTTGTATCTTGAGTCAATCTCTTTTGAAATATAAAAGAGAGAGGAGTGAGCAGACAGACGGGGAACCTCCTACTACCAAGAACGAAGAGCCAGGAAGAGAATGCATCCTTTGGACCCAGAGTTCCTGTGCTGAGAAGCTCCTAGAGCAGGGGACGATTGATCACAAGGACTTCCCCTAGACTTGACAGAGAGAGAAAGGCTTCCCCTAGAACTGGCACCCTGAATTTGGGCTTCTAGCCTCCCAGACTGTGAGAGAATAAACTTCTCTTTGTTAAAGCCATCCACTTGTGTTATTTCTGTTATAGCAGCACTAAGAATATTGAGTATACCATGGACTGCCAAGAGAATGAAAAAATCTACCTTAGAAGGAGTACAACCAGAATACTTCTTTGAAGGAAGGATGGCGAGAGTACGTCTCACATACTTTGGACATGTTATCAGGAGGGATCAGTCCCTGGAGAAGGACATCATGCTTGGTAAAGTGGAGGGTCATCGAAAAAGAGGAAGACCTTCAATGAGATGGATTGACACAGTGGCTGCAACAATGGGCTCAAGCATAGCAACGATTGTGAGGATGCCGCAGGACTGGGCAGTGTTTCTTTCTGTTGTGCATAGGGTGGCTATGAGTTGGAACCAAATCGACAGCACCTAACAACAACAATAACAACAACAACAGATAACTAAGACCTTATCCTTCATTGAAATTGTTCACGAAGGGATACTTTGCAGCCACTTATCTTCTTTCAAGCTAGCAAAATATCAAGGGAATTGCAAATGGAAAACATTAAGATTTTTTAATAAGCA